CCGCAGCCACCACCATGTGGAAGGTTGAGCTTCGCACAGAAAAAGATTGTGTCTTTTGTATTCTTTACAAGTCAGTCAGAATTGCAGGCATCGGATATTTCTGATGTGTCCCTGCCCTCTGTGAGAGTTCATTCCTCTTTTCTACCTTAGATCAGAAGTAAGTTCTTCTGTTATACAAGGTTTTATGCTTCAGTAGACGCAACTTTAACTAAGTTGCCCACCATCACATTCCACAATGCATTCTGATACAGGGATATCTAACAGCCTGTCGACAATTTTCCAAATGACTCTGTTCGTTGCTGAGGACTCCCTTCCCTAGAGGAGAACCCACTGCTGAATTTCAATGAGCAGTTAATCCACTGAAAGAGAAACTGTTTTCCAATGGACGTTGCGCATTCCACTTTAAAGATAGAGGATTCCACAATTACTTCACCTACCACAGTGTCTGGCCCCATTCTCATAGACTTAAATGTTCCATTCATCATCGCCTACTCAGTGGTTTTATCTACAAAGATTGGAATGCCCAGATAAACAATTTACAAACCATTTTCTTGCCCCTAAACAGTTCCAGGGGCTCTAAGCCTTTGCAGAAGGGTTTTGTCCAAAAACATGGACTACCCCTCCCAAAGCTGACTTTCCAATGTCTCACCTTAACATAGGTCTGGCCATTCCTATCGAAGATGCTTTGTCCTTTTAGGAACCCTACTGACAATGTTTCAAGCAATTTCTTGATTACTGGTAATTCGTTTCTTGGAGGCATGTGCTGTTCAACCCTTGCTCACCACAGCACTTATTTCCCAGATTTAAATTGGTCTAAATCACTAAAGGATCAGATGGCTACCGGTGTTGACTCTCAAGTTATTGATTACATTGACCAGATCACTGTCGCACTTGGTGTGGCGCAGCTCTAAATTCTAGTCATGTTAGGTTTCGTATGCCTTTTTTTTTTTTTTTTTTTGTCCAGAAATGCAGTGCAAACTGGTTTAATAGCTTATCGGCAATGCAGCAGTGTACGAAGGCTTTTTTAAAACTTCCGTCCATAGGAATATTTCTTTTCTGCTCTTCACAGGACAAAATTATTAAAAAATGAAAGGAGTAATCCACACAGCTACAAAAAAGTAAGGAAGTACACCAGGAGCTCAAAGTCTGCAGAAAAATCCAACTCAGGATGATGGCCAACCCCCATTAACTCCATCCGAGGTGTGGAGATATCTGTTGTCCTTTACAAAGATTTGGGAAACTTGCACTGCTAACATATAGGTAAAGGATTTTCTATCCAAAGATTGGACAATAGTTTTGCTTCCATCTTTCACCTTGATTTTTCAGTAAGTATCATCGTGTCTCTCTGAATATCTAAACAACCTTCCTTCAGCCATTCAGGGATTGTTGAAAAAGGTGGTTATCATTCACGTTCCTTCAACTAAAAGGCTACAAGGTTTTTATGCAGATTTGTTTACAGTTCCAAAATCAAAAGGAGTCTTTTTTTTTTTTTTTTTTTTTTTTTTTCTTCTATGGGAGGGATTTAAAGGGTCTAAATTAGATATATTTTCATTCTTTAAAAGTTTCAGATGGAATATGTGGTCAGTTATGGTGACTTATCATTACAGGGTCTTATTGGTATCCATCATTATAAATGTTATTTTGCACATTCCCAGCTCACCAGCAATTTTTCTTTGTTTTGCCTTGGTTGACAAATACCATCCGTGGCCATTCCCTTGGCCTTACCTTAGACTAGAGTATTGATAAAGGTCCTCGCATTAGTTCTTGGTCTTATCCATCTCTGAGGTTCTCCACTCATTGGATAGCTAGACAATCTTTTGCTGCATGAAAAGACCTCTCTCACCTGAACTTCAAGCAGTCATTTCTGATTCTTTCATATTGCTTGAAGTTCTTGGGCTTCTCTTGGATAGCTTTCAGTCCAAGGTCTTCTTATCCCAAGAGAAGATGAAAAAACTGCAAAGTCAGTTTTGGCAACTTCGATCCAAATGTTGGTTTTCCTTTCAGAATTGCATGCGAGTGCTGTGATTGATGGTATCTACCTTTTTTGAAGCCATTTCTTTTTGCCCAATCCCATTTTGCAATGGAAACTTCTCACAGTGTAGGATAAAGCAGGTCTTTCTCTGGAAAAGATTATCCCGTTACATCCTCGGACAAAGATGTCTGTCATGACTGGTTATGTCCCTGACATTGAAGAGCAGGATTTTCTTCCTTTACATTGAAAGATTGTCACGATAGACGCCAGTCTTCCGGGTTGGGGTGAAATCCTGAATCATCTGTTCAAGGGTTGTTTCAGGAAGAATAAAAGCTTACAGTCATTAGTTGTGGGTGATTTGTCACTTCATTGGACCACCCTGCTGACATGCCATCAAGTCCAGGTTCATTTGGGGAATAGTACAGCAGTGGCTTACAACAATCATCAGGGCACACCAGATATGTTGTGTGGAGACAGAGCTAAAGTCTACCCTGTCCTGGTCTTCATGTTTCAGCAGTCTCCACGATGCACATTTCCAAGGTGGAGAACTGGTAGGCAGATTTTCTCAGCAGACAAATTCTGAATCTGGGGGAATGGTGTCTCCATCAGGAGGTGTTCTAGGACATATGTCTGTTTTGGAGGGATGCCAGATGTGGATCTGCTAGCTTGGTTCAACAGGAAGCTGGACAAGTTTGTCTACAGGGGGGGGTTAGCAACTCGTAGATTGCAATTTACCAGTAGTTCATGGCCAGGTGACTGGTAGATCGCAGTCTGGTCTTGCTGACCCGTCATCCCAGAGCATCAGAGTGCAATGCAGATGGACTATTTGTAAAGTCAGAGCTGTAGTAGAGAGCAAGAGCTGCATAAGCCAATGCCTCCTCTGTAGTGCTCCTGTCTCATTTGGAGTGATACTAACTGCACTCCGCCTCTTATCTCAACTAGTGGCCTCCAGAGTGGTGCCAGCAGCAAGAAAGAAGAGATCTTCAGGTCAGTGTAAAGCAATACACGGAGCAAAATAGCCTAAGGCTGCTTTCACAGTGCTGTGGTTTACCCATACCACGGATGCAGTGCATTGTACCTGCAGCTTTCCTGCGGGTTTGCTGCACTTGGCTAGATATAGCTATTATATCCTGTGGGGTTGTAGCACTCCTGAATGTTTTCGCTTTCAGAAAGTGCACCAAACCTGCAAGATATAATAGAAGTCTATGGCAAAGCGCAGCTAACCCAGGAAAGTCGCAGATGCACTGTGCTGCACCCACGTGCAAGTAAACCGCAGCACATCAGTGCGAAAGCAGACATTTATAGGGGTTTCAGCACAGTAAGGGTTCATTTACATTTGCAGTTTGGGGGGTACTAAAACCCCATAGGTAAAATGGTGTTTTTTCACCCCCCCCAAACTGTGCCCCCTTTAGCTGCAGTGGTCAGGGGTGTACACGTTGCAGCCACTGCAGGAGTTATACGCCCTGTCATGGTTGATGGGTGTAGCACCTGCCAAGCATGACCCATTCAAGTGAATGCGGCTGATCTGCAAGCAACCTTGTGCAGTACAGCAAACAAGGGGTTAAGTAGGCTGCATTGTGTTGCTTTCTCACCACCTGTTTTGACCCTTTGGACCCCGCCGAAGCATGCAGTTGTGGGGCGCTTTCAGGGTGGCTACATTTACTTGAATAGGTCGTGATTGGCAGGCGGCAGCACCCACCAAATGCAATAGGGGGTTTAATTCCTGCTGTGGCATGTGTACACTTTTTTGGCTGCTGCCTCAGCAGCTGAAGGGGGTAGAGATTGGGAATGGTAAAACGTGACTCAACTGCGGGGTTTTACCACCACCCAATTTTTACATGTGAACGAGCTGTAAGGGAGCCGCTGCAAAATGCAACTAAGTTAAGGGTTCATTCACAAGTACGGCAGGCACTGCTGCTCCTCTGAAAATCGGTCTGTGTGTGTTTTGACAAGTGGCGAAATATTTTGTCTCCTCACCACCTGATTTACACCCTTGATTGACATGCAATGCAGCAATGCACACGATTGCGACACGGTAGGACAGCAATTAGGGGTTTAAATCCGATGTGAGGAGGCGACACTGTGCCTGGTGATCTTTGACTTCTCCCATATTCAGGTAGATCTCCACGTCTGATCTGCAGAACCAAATGGGGGATGCCGTGGATGCCCTGGTGCCATGGGATCAGTATTCCCTGAATTATGCCTTTCCTCCAGTGAAACTTTTGCCTCATCAGTTTTGAAGTTAGTCCAAGGACTGATTTCCCTCTGCTTCTCAGTCGCTGACTTTGACAGCCTGTCAGTTGAAAAGAACAGGTATTGAGAATTCCATTATCCAAGCCATGCCCTAAGCTCATAAATCTACTTCCTGCTTTTTCATTGCACGGTGGAAGGCTTATTTTTACTGGTGTAAATCTTTGGGGCTTCCCATCTGCCTTTTTTTCTCAGCTATGTTATTTCTTTTCTCAAGTTGGGGTAAAAAAAACACACACTTGGCCAGCGCCGAAATGCAAATAAACTATAAATTCTCAAAAAATGAAATTGTATTATTATGGCACCTAGTATAAGTGTACTAAATAATATTAATGTTTGAATATAAAATGATGTAGCGCTTACACAAAATAAATAATGCATAAACAATAAATAATGTGCATATAAAGTGACCCCACACAGACACACTCAGTGACTTTAACTACTTGCCTACAGGGCACTTATACCCCCTTCCTGCCCAGGCCAATTTCCAGCTTTCAGCGCTGTCGCACTTTGAGTGACAATTGCGCGGTCATGCAACACTGTACGCATATGAAATGTTTATAATTTTTTTGTGACAGAGCCTTATTTTGGTGGTATTTATTCACTTCTGGGTTTTTTATTTTTTGCTAAACAAACCAAAAACCACTGAAGATTTTGAAGAAAAAAAATTTTTTCTTCGTTTTTGTTATATAATTTTGTAAATAAGTGATTTTTCTCCTTCACTGATGTATGCTAATGAGGCTGCAGTGATGGGCACTGATGGACACTGGCAGGCATCACTGATGGGCACTGAAAGACAGCACTGATACACACTGAGACAGGAAGCACTGACTGGCACTGACAGGTGGCCCTGATTGGCATTGATAGGTGGCACTGACTGGCACTGATGGGTGACACTGAAAGGCAGCTCAGATGGGCACTGATATGTGGCATTGATGTGCACTGGTAGGCACTGATATGTGGCATTGATGGGCACTGACACAAGGCACTGATGGACACTGACAGGTGGCATTGCTGGGGCTACACTGATCATCAGGGCACACTGATCATTAGTGCCCTGATGATCCGTGTACATGTCCCCTCCACGAAAAGCTGATTACCAGATCGCCTCTCCTCTCGAGCTGTCAGCGTGATAGTTCGAGAGGAGAGAAATGCTGATAACCGACATTTCCCTGTTTACATGTGATCAGCTGTGATAGGACACAGCTGATCACATGACAGAGCCGACATCTTCGGCTCTTTCTGTGATCGGTGATCCACTGACC